TCTTCTGTACTGTAGACAACCTCCTCATGAATTTTTATTTTGTTTTGTCCTTAACTTAAACCACTTTATTTATATACATTTGATTTAACTCATTCAATATGTGTTCGACCCAATGAATTAAATGTGCAGATGTGTGTGTGGGTTTACATCTTTGCGAGGACCGTTTTGAGAGTACTCGTTATGGAGTGAGCTCATTTGGGGAAAACGAGGACATTCTGCTCCTCATTTTTCAAAGAGACTTGTTTTTTAGGGTTACGGTTAGAATTAGGTTGGAAGAAGGGACCTGAGCCAGTTTCCTTTAGAGAAGAAACGGGAGGTGAGCCATCGTTCTCTTGGTTTGATCTCTCCCATTGGTCCAAGCCTCACATCGCTGGGGACGACTGTGTCTCCTCCCTCAGTGGTCTACCCGTTATCCTCATAAATAAACTATTCATTTTAACAGGGTCCCTAACCCCTTCACATTTTGAACCCCTGTCAAACATTTATCTTCTTATTTATCATAAACAAAAAAATGTACATGCATTTTAAATGTGTTTAAGTTGAAAAATGAATTTAATGACATCGGTTGTAAATATAATGAAGTAAAACAAAATTAAAAATTAGATTGTGATGTTCAGGATTCGCTGGTTGGAGCAGAAATATATAAACGACATTCAAGAAAAGTCTTACAAGGATCTAGAGTGGAATTAAAGGAACTGCTGTGTCTGAAATCATCCACTCACTCAATAACCCCTTTATTCTGAGTCTGTAGAGAATCAAGAGTTTGTGAATCTTCAATAGTTTCAGAAAAATGTCTGAGAAAACTACTCGCACAAGTAAAACTTGATCCTAATATCATGCTTTTGTATTTTTATTTATCGTGTCACCGAACAGAACTCGTTCCTCAGGGGGAAATATAGACATTGCAGATATGTCAGCTGCATCAAAAGAGGAAGAGGATCTGTGAAGGAAAGTCGAGCTGATGCAAGAGATTGGTGATAAAACTGGATTTGACAGCAAACATAAAATGGTCGAACCCTCAGTGAAATACAGAAACATCCCCTCACGGAACATTGGGGTTTTGACAACTTGGAATAATATTCCTCTGGAAGACAAGAGCTTTTCTTCTTCTCTGCAGCCTCCTCCCTCCCTCGCTCTCTCCGTCTGTCTCCGTCTGTGGCAAAGCAAGAAAGACGAGGATGCAGCGTGAACTCGTGGCATTTAAGAGATGAAGCTGCTTTTGTCCACATCGAAAAATAACAAATTGCAAACGCACACAGGCCTCATGAACTATAATAAAGAAGAAAATCACTCTTAAACAATACGTCATACAGCGTTCAAACTAAAATACAGAAAAGAATGTGATTAATTAAAAAAGTTTTAGAAATGTAGGAAAGCTTCAGCGTCGCCTCCAGAGCCAGAAACATTCGTCCTAATTTTTAATAGTTTTTTTTTCGTTTTCGATGACGGAAGTGAGCTTAGGAGCCGATGACGATATAAAACACGTAGACTGGAAGCGAGAGCAGATTCGCTGCCTTCCGTCCGACGAGCGAGTTTTACGTCATGTTCCAATCAACACGGGTGCCGTACCCACTAAATGTAATTTGGGAGAAGTAACAAGCCGTGAAAGAGACGATAATCACCTCTGCTTTGTCACCTCTCTGCAGACAATTTGCTCTGTTCACCTCGGTGTCTCTTCTTACCTGATTACATTTGCAGGCTGCGTGAACACAGAGGACACAGAGTTCAGAGAGGTGACTCCAGGTTTCTAAAGAAAACAGATGATTCCGTTTATTTGCTCCTTCACTTGTTTATTTCTGTTTAAAACATCCGACACATCTTCAACAAATGAATTGATCTGTCTTTATCGTTGTCTGGTTCTAAAAGAGACTTGAATTATTTCAGCTTTAAAGGTTCAGTGTCTAGAATGTAGTGACATCTATTGGTGAAGTTGCATGTTGCAGCTGAACACCCTTCACTTCACCCTCTATTTCCAAACATGACAGAGAACCCGTGGTAGCTTCAGGTGTCATAAAAACTCAAAAGGTTTGTCCAGTAAAAAAACATGGCCGCCTCCGTAGAGAGGACCCGATTCCTGTGTAAATATAAAGTATTCAAATATAAAGGCTCATTCTGGGGTAAAGAAAAAAACAATTTAGATGAAACACATCACTAGGATTATTTTATATTCAATTTCTACCGATGGATCTCTTTCACCTAAAAGGTACACACTGGACCTTTAACCTCTGTGGATTAAAACGATGTTCAAAGCGTAAAACAAAGCAGGAATGACTGAATTGACTTTGAAGCATCTGTGGCTGAGGTCGTCCTCCAACCAGAAGGTCGGCGGCTCAATCCCAGTCGTCCCCATCAGCTCGCTGAAGTGTCCTTGGGCAAGATACTGAACCCTGAATGTCCCTTTGTAGACCTTCTGTATGAATGTGTGTGTGAACGGCAAAACTGTATGTGAAGCATTTTGAGCGGTCATCAAGACTAGAAAACATCTATACAAATACAGAGCATTTAACATTTTCAGCTTCAACAACTCAAAAAATGCTCTCAGTCAAAACAGGGGAGCAGCACAGGAAAAGACTTGAAGCACTGACGCTTATGGGGAAAGTAGCGAGAGGTGACATAACACATGAACATGAGCATTCAACAACGATAAACCCAAAATCCCACAAGCATGAGGAAGCACAGAGACTTAAATACACACTGAACTGATGAGTAACTGGAGACAGGTGGCACAGGACAAACAGGTGAGCCTGACGAGGGCAGGAAGTCTAGGGGTGAAACACACCAGGAGCAGGGGCTACAAAATAAAACAGGAAACAGAGGAACACTGAGAGGAACTCGGGGTGAAGCACAGGGTGGAACATAGAAGAGGGACAAAGAGGGTAAGACAGGAGAGGGACACAGAGAGGGACACAGACAGAGGGGACACAGAGCAAACTTAAAACATGAATTCAAACGTAACACAGCTTGAACTGAAAACTCTCTTTATGACATCCTAATGTACAAGTTAATTCTAATGTATGTTCAATGTATGTTACTGCCACTGGATGCTTGAATTTCCTTCGGGATCAATAAAGTATCTATCTATCTATCTATCTATCTATCTATCTATCTATCTATCTATCTATCTATCTATTGATCTATATATATGTTAAAATAAAGTTCATGGTAACAATATCTGGACAGAATATATTTTAAAGCATTTTAAAGGTTTGAAAGACATATGTGAAATCAAAAGTCGTTTAGACTTGGACAGAATTAATAGAAATATCATACAATTTATTTTTCACAAACATTTATGCTCAATATTGAAAGAAAACACTGTATTTTCATCTTTACAGTTTCTCCTGGTAAATGCTGCCCCCTGGTGGAAAAATGAAGTCAGTGAATTACACCAATTATACAGTAAAGAGTGATTTGCACTTTTATCCTTGAATTAAATCTGCAGCTCAAAGTGTGAATATTCCTGTGAACCTATTTTTTCTTCTTTGTTTCAGTCTCAGAGAATCTTTTTGCTTTCCTTAGTGATGAGAACCTTATTCAGGTAAAAGTCTATTGTGTTAAAAATCCTCCTCACTACCACTAAGTAGTCTGACTTACGTCCTGTTAACGATTTAGACTCCACTGATTCTTTGCTTTGAGAAACTGGTCTTGTCGACCTTGAAACTCAAAAGTGGGAGAGGAGGCCTCCGTTTTTATCTGTAAATTATTTTGTCTGAACAAAAGTTTAAACACACAAAAGAAGCTGCAGATTCTCACTGTGGAGTGATGACGCTTGACCTTGTCCCGGAAACTCAAGTCAGCTCCTCCGGTAAGAACTCACATCAGTGTTAAATAAACTGCAGCACATTAAAATGAGACACTTTGTTATTCTCACCACACTCAGACGTCCTGGTTATTTTATCTTGTCCTGTTTGGAATCAGACTCAACTATCGACAGACTCTTCAAGGATTCTTATTCACCTTGAACCACCACGTGGACTTTAATCTGGAATCTGTGATTCTTTCACCCTCTTTGTAGTTTGTCATCCAGGAAGTTTTATTGAGCAGCAAAGAGGTTCCACAGAGAAAGTGTGTGGGTCCAAGTTAAATCTCTAAACTTCTGCCAACACAAGGAAACATCGTAGTGTTTTCTTTTTTGAAATATTAAATGATCATCTTATATCAAAGTAGGTTTATGTTTAATCCACCAAGATATGAAGTAACATTTGCTGTGTTTTTATTCATGCTGGCCTCGCCAATCTGACGTACTGTTGACCGACAACGATTTGTATCAAAGCTCTTTTTAAATTGATGCCAAAAGTATTACAGTTGATTGAGCGCTTTATAATTTACTCATTTGAACCTGAGTGGACATGAGTCCATCTTGACTTATTACCGTAGGATGGGTTGTTGGGTTGTGGCCGTTTCCCTGAGCTTCACTTTCAGCTGCACTGTAGACACAGTTACTGAACAGGGTGGAGCTCAGGAGATGTAAATCTAAAGTAAATAAACTGCAAGTCCCAACATTTCAGTTTCAACATTCCTGCATGAGGATTTCTCAGTATTACAAGTGCTCTGCTGATTCACATGCAGGAATAGACCCAGTGCTGTTGGTCCAATGTCAAATCTCCGTTCACTAATCCGAGGAGCTGCAGATTTTACTTGGATGATGGAGAAGATTGAAAGAAATGTCTTCATAAATTCTAAATTACATTTCACTGGCTGGTACTTGGTAGAGCGGGTCGTCTACCAACCAGAAATGTTAATCCTCCAGTTTGTATTCCGAAGTGTCGACTGACAGAGTGTGAATGAATGTGGGACGTATGCTCTGGATATACAGTGGAAGCGTTGTTTGAATGTGTGCATGAATAGGTGAATGTGAAATGTACTGTAATATAAATACAGTCTATTTACTATTGAAATCATAGATCACGCCCCAGTTCAACAGGAACTGTTGCTGTAAATATAAGAAATGTATTTATACAGTAAAGAGAAAACTTTTTTTTTTTTAAATGTCTTTAATATCTTGTTTGCATATATAATATCATATTTTTAATAACAGAATCATTGAGCTTTGGAGTAAACAGCAGCGTCATTAACAACACAACAAATAGACCTGAGTCTACAGTTTACACGTGTTCAGTTTGGAATAAAAGCAGGTAAAAGCTGATGCAATCACAAAACCTCCGATTTTGTGCATGGTTACATTTTTGGTACAAATAAATACAAACACGACTTTATACTGCAGCGTCGTCTAAACACTGAAATGACACAACAGTTTGTCTAAGTGCTGCACAGTTGTGTTTGGTTTCAGAAACAACTAAAGCTACAATCACTCATGTCGACAACATTTCCACTCAGTTCATCTCCCACAAGTTCACGCTCAAGGTTGAACTGGACCCCAGACTTTTTTTTATAAACAGCATTTTCCAGTATTCTGAATTAAAGTCCATTTTTAATTTGTTAATGGAAGTGAAGATGAATCTGAACTGTCCTTCACTAACATGACCTGCTTCATTCTCCTGTGACAGAAAACAGTCCCTCTGTCTCCAGAGAGATTTCCTGCTTTAAGTCCATGACGTCCTTTCCGCTGTGTTTGGAACATAATAAGGACTTTAGCTCTCACACTAACACTAACCAGCCCTGAGCTTTTTCTGGTGTCATAAAACACAAAGTAATGGACCCGGAAGCTTCATTTTAGAGCCGTGAATGTTTAGCAAATCAATGTTACAGCCAATTTATGAACTTGTCCTTATTCTGATCATGTTCCACACAAAGAAAACGATCACGAGGTTCAACTGGCACAAGATTAAACCCAAAGATTTCCATGTAACTCCCACAGAGTATTAAGTACCCAACAGGTTTACAGGCAACAACTGTGTTCGACAAGATATAATAACGCAAACTAAAACTGTATTGACGTCAGTAATCTCAGCAAACACGCAGACAAACAAAGAAAGTTGTGTGTCCACATGGCACATTCAGTTCACACCAAAAAAACCCACAATGAACAGGACGTTTGTTCTTTGGACATAACACGAGTGAAGTTTTCAGATTGTAGATCATGAAGAATTGTAGAAAAACACCTTATTTGAAAACATTCACAGTACGTACATGTACAGTATTTGCGCTGCATAGGCATCATCATAGGCACTGACGTTTAGTGCATAGACAAAAGGTGCAAAATGAAAAGTAATAGAAAAACGTACCTCTTATTTCTCATTTATTTTGTAAAGATAAGTGTTAATTTATTTCTTAATGGCTTTGTAAACATGTCTTTCCCATACAATCATTGCACAAGAGAGAAATGCATTATGGGTTACTGTCACGGCACATGTTCAGGTACAGTCGGGCTATTTCTAAATTATAAAAATATTTTAAGGACATCAAGTGAAAGTTTTCACATGTCATTACTACAATAGAAAGATTGTACACATCAAGCAGCAATATATCTTTAAAATGATTACCAACTAAAATCTGACGTTAAAAAAGTCCCGTTAAAGCATCTTTTCTCAGGTAAAGGATTTTTTAAAGCTCGTCCTGAGTTTTGGCTTTCATTGTTAAAGCTTTTATTTGACAGAATAAACAATGCAGAAAACAGGTGCATTAACACATTTTTACGTAATAAAATATGTTGATTCAAGTTCCATATATTTGGCTGTATGTGATTTTGGTTTTTACAGTAAAATATTGAGCCTCAATTACTTGACAGCAACATTTTATAACGACTTATTTATCATTATAGGAATTCTTTTACTCCCTAATGTCAGCATCAGCCCCAAAAATCCATATTTTTAGGCTCTCGTCTGCAGCTCCTTTAAATCAATGGAAGGACCATTAATAGATGAGGGTCATTATTCTAAACTGAATTAGAATATGACTCTGTCTGTTGTTTTGTGTCTGTGGGCAAACGGGAGAAAATTATACTTAAAAATGAAGTTTAAGTACCATGTGTTGAGTACTCAAGCTACATCTTTACAAGGAGGACTTTAAATTATTTTTTTGCATTCTATCTTGCAGTATTTAAATAAAACATTTTCTACTTTAGTTAAATTATCCTGCATTTATTCTACATAACTGCTGCTACGACTGTAGCATTACAAGGCACAGCGGCAACAATGCATGTTTGATTTGCATCATGTGAGATGTAAACTGCAAACATACATGTAAACGTAGATATTTGGACAGATTCTCTTTTTAAACATTTTTTTTTTTAGCATCTGGTGTCACAATCTCCGTTGGGAGCAGAGAGGCTCTGGACGTAGCGGACGGCGTCTGCGATAGTAAAGAAAATCATTTTCTTCTCCCCTCCATCATCTCCTCTTGTGTCGGGGTAGTACCCGCCTCTTTCCAGAGTGTCCAGCACTGAGGTATTACACTGGGCCAGCACCACCTTGACCCCAACTTCTTCATAATCTTTGCGAACCTCTTTCAGAGCATTCACTCCTGCGGTATCCAGAAACAAGATGGCGCTACAGTCTATAACTATGCTCCGCAAGTTACGACGCGATTCCTCGTCGAGCATCAGGGTTACAATCTCAGTAGCTTCAGCTTCAGCCTCTTTTTCTGACTTCATGTTTGCGACCTCCTCCTGTTTGCTCTTCTTCTTCTTCTTCTGCTTCTGGAACTTTATCCATCGTGTTTTCTCCTTCACAGGATCGAGCCCAACACGACTGTAAAGAGATCTTTTGAACAAGCTCTGGTTGGCGTAGTAGATCGGGGCCTCGTATCTGAAAACAGCCACTCCTGGATGAGTGTGAAGGCCACGGTAAGACGACAGGTCCTCGTAGTGCTCCCTGGATGAGGCCTGGCCCAGCTCCAGGACCTGGACTTGCTGAGTCCGGCCGAGGACGCAGAAGGCCGACACCAAAACCCCGACGAGGAGACCCAGCTCTGTGTTGACCAGCGACGAGGTCATCATGGTGACCAGCCAGATGGAGGCGTCGACGCGATTGATGCGCCACATGCGAGGAATGTCGGTGAACTTTCGTAGAGCACCGCGGAGGTTGACCACAATGATAACAGCGAGGACACACCTGAGCAGACGAAGAACAGAGCCAGGGTCAGGAGAGTCATGTCATCGTGATCTCCGCCCCGTTTTAAGACTATCTCAGATTATTCAGGAGGCCGAGGGTCAAAGTTTAAGAAACAAGAAACAGTTGAGGAGACAAACACGATAAAAAAAAATAAAGAAAGAGGGAGGATAATAAGAGACAAGGAACAAAGCCGATCTGATGTTTGTCATTAATGATGAACACATTCCATTTGACCAGAGAACCAGTGTGTGTCTGAGGGAGTGTTTGTTTTTGGGCTTGTACGTGTGTAACACACAGCACAGAAGCAAAAATCATTATCAGTCATCAGCTTCAGTCACTGGACAGTGATCAAGAATCAAATCGTCTCCCAGTGTGAGAAATCCTCTTTATCTTCCCACCTTCATTTATTCAATCATTTGTTCATGACATCGTTTCTAGCTTCTTGTAAGAACAGATGAGTTTTGTTTAAAAACGGTTGATGCCTGAAGATATTTAAACAACCTCTGCAGAGCAGGAACCAGCAGCAGCAGCAGTGACTCTGCAGCTGATAATCAGAGGTTATCAGACGGTGTTTGTCTTGGTCTAACCTTGAAACCCTCTTTTATGATAAACGACAAACAAAAAAGATAAGAACTGCAAACAAACCAGAACCTAAACCTTTAGATTCTAAAACAAACAGGATAATTGGAACGTGTGACACGTATTTTAAGGCTGAATTAGGTTTTACTCTGAATAAAATAAGATTGACATGGTGATATGTTGGCTTAATTATTGTAATAAAATACAAAAACAGATTTTTTTGTATCATCTGTAAAAATAACTTTAATTATTTATTTATTTAATCGATTGGCCCTGTCCCAAATTAAGAATGTGTCTCATACTACATGTGGCTGGCGACAAAAGACGACTCTTCTCTACATGTGTCCTCCAGACATTAGATAAGTATCTGAGTGACTCTGACAAACAGCTCGTCTGTCTGTTTAAGAGTGAAATGACTGGAGTGAGTCAAACCGGAATGACAGCTGTGAGCCGCCTTTTTTAAGCAAGAAGATACGTCTGCAGGCGAAACTTATTCACGGTTTCCTTTTTCTTTTAAATAAGAATTTCCTGCACAAATGGCTAATCTACTTTTCCTAAAGCCGATTGTTCTTATTCTAAAATGTTTTATGTTGTTTTAACATAAAAAAGGTGAAATGTTCGCGATGTGAAAATACCACTATCAAGGTCCTTTAGTTCATATCAAGGTGCCTAACACTCGTGAGATGAATTTACAAAGAAGTAATTGAGGAAAACCCTTCGACTTGTACTTACTTCTGTAGAGAATAGAAGAGCGGTGCAATAACCAGAAGAACCAGCAACAGGACGAGGGCGCTGACCAACCCCGACACCTGAGTCTGGCACCCTGTTGACTCCTTGACGAGGGTCTTGGTCAGAGCAGCGCTGGTGGTGAAGCAGCGGAAAAACGATGGCAGGATGTTGCAGAAGCCGATGGCGTACATCTCCTGGTTGGCGTCCACTGTGTAGCCGTGCTTCTTGGCGAACATTTCCGACAGAGAGACGGTGATGGCGAATCCGACGATGGCGATGGAGAAGGCGTCGACAGCCACGTTGGGGATCAGAGACCACAAGGGCAACTGCGGAGGAAGGAAGCCGGTGGGGATTTCACCGGCCACGCTCGACCCGTACTCTGTGTTGAAGTGGCCGAAGTGAGACGCCAGGGTCGCAATTATCACCACGAAGAGCTCGAAGGGGATCGGAGCCTGGGTGAGAAAACACACACACAAAAGAAGACCAGACTAAAATTCCATGTTCGACCTCGAGGACTCGTCAGTGTAACAGTGTGGAGATGGAATGGAACTTTCTTAAATTGCCATAAAAGTAGATAATGTTAGATAAATTTAAATTAAATAACTATTCTATTTGGCATTTTTAGAGATGTTCCGATACCAGCATCAGAAATGCCTCTGGTGCTGCCAAAAATGCTTTGTCAAATGTATGTACCAATCCCAAACCACATAATTCTAGGGTCTCATCTACACAGGTTATATAATGTAAACCTTTAAACCTCTTTCTACTTTGATTGATAGGGATTTCAATAAATTAAATAAAAAGTAGTATTTACACAAGGAAACTAGCACAATAACCATATCTGCAGTTGGTCTTTACCTTTAATTTGGCTTTGAAGCGATCATTGATTTCCTTCGTTGGTATCAGTATCAGCAAACACACCAAACTGGTCACCAGGTCACAGATATTCGTGTTCCCCAGGCTGGTGAAGAGGCTGAACCAGGTCTTGAAGAGAGTGAACCAGCCCTGAGGCCTGGGGATCTTCAGACCCAGCAGGTACTTGACCTGCGAGGTGAGGATGGTCAGAGAGGCTCCCGTAGCGAAGCCGCTGAGAAGAGAGTCTGAGAGGAAGACGGAGACGAAGCCGAACTGGAAAATACCCATGAGCACCTGAGAGAAAAGAGTTGAGCAGGAGTAAACGAGCAGATTCAAAACCAAGAGATTCAATTCTATCTGTCGATCGCCCCTGCTCACCCACCTGGTAAACCCCGGCAGTAAAGGTAAGCGTGGCTCCCACTGTGATTGCATAGCAGCTCCTGTCACAGTCCAGCCAAACGCTGTCATTCCCCTGGCCAGCCAGCAGGACGGCGCTGTCGTTACTACTGATGCTTTCTGTGAGGTATCCTGCCAGAGCCAGCTCCCTGTCCACAACCTGACCCACGAGCAGGCAGAGCACTCCGAAAATCCCCACTGAGATGTGTCTGGAAGTACCTAACAGGGTGTAGATGATGGAGGAGAAGAAGGAAGTGTAGAGACCATAAATAGGGTCCTGACTGGCCAATAAGGAGTAAGCTATAGACTGGGGGACCAACAGGATTCCAACGATTAGTCCCGACATGGCGTCGCCCAGCAGCCAGTCCCTGAGCTTGTAGTGTGGCATCCATTTCAGAACTGGGAAAAAGTCCAGTACTTTGGATTTGATCTTCTCCGGGGTGCACGAGCAGTGTTTCTTCAGACGGTTTCTCACGACGGTTTGACAACTTTTTCCTGCGTCTTTGTCGACTCTCTCCAGAATGAGAGGCTGCTGCTGGTCGCTCTCTGCTCCATCGTCTGCCGTCGTACAGCAGCCACTGTCCCCGGCCATGATCCAGCCCCTGCAAGTGGGGGGGAGGGGAAATAATGTTAATACACCAAGTTCATCTCAAACATCGTATCCCAGCATGCACAGTGCAGCTTAGACAAAAGAAACATCTCTGTGGCGACTGATCTGTTGTGGTGCATCTGGTAAAGAACACTTTACCACATGCACACCACCAGGAGGAGGTGTGAGGAGGAGGTGTGAGGAGGAGGTGTGAGGAGGACAAGCGTTATCAAGGGTCAGATCAGTGTCTGTGGGTCCACCTGCATATTTTGCAAGTTTCCTTGTTTTTATATTACGTCACAACATAAACAGAACATAAACAGAACACTTCCCCTTATTCATACAGTTCAGCTCTTAGTGACACGTATCCAGTGATGTTTACCAAACAAGCAGAGCAGGGATGTGAGCAGTGTATGATAATTACAACTTGATCTACAGTATTACCTCTGTGCAGCCTTGAATTTTGGAATATACTCTTCAAGAAGTTTACATTGAGTTGACATATAATCTGTTCTATTGCCTTTACACCACTTATCAGCATGGCACCGTTGTTAGTGACTTTAGACACATTAGTGGTATTTAACTGTTTCTCAGGATTTAACACATTAACAGGATTACTGTTGTGTTACTGCGCTCCGTTTCCCTTGAGAATGAATGTGTGGTGTAGTTAATGAGATGAATGCTCATGCCTACATGTGAACAGGCACGGATGGAAACCACCAGGCTTTATAAGGTTTTAATGTTCTTTGGAAAAATGTGCTTTAATGTGAATATGTTTAAATTAAAAAAACATTTACACTTCCTACCCTTCGTTAGTGTTGGAATATTTATGACATAATGTTGACGAGCACTATACATACACATGTGCAATAACTATACATACACATGTGCAATAACTATACGTACAATAACTATA